TTACAAAAAGGGGACAAATAAATAAAAAAATTTTTTTTTTTTTTTCTTTACAAGACGCGCTTCTTTTCTCGAATTTTTCAATGCAAATTACTTCAATTCTTTCCTTACATTTTTTTTTCTTTGTTTCATGCCGCGAATGTATTATTATTTTGTTGTTGTATGTATGAGTGTGTGTATGTTATTTTTTTTTAATTTTTTTTATTTTTTTTAAATAGTCCCTTAAAAATTACAAGACAAACGCCAACTATTTTATAATCTTAGAACAACGTCTCTCGTCAGACAAGACACGAGAATATCACATTGTAGGTGTGTTTTTTTTTCTACCTTAATCCTTAAATTAATTTTAAACCCTAAGATTACCGCCCTCGCCTCCGAAACCCCTAAACCCTTAAGTGTAGTGCACGAAACGCGGGTATTTTTTTTTTCCTTTTTCATTTAAACGCTATATAATTATAATATTGTATACGTATGCATATAATTATAGATTACGGTCGTACCTTCGACAATATATATATTAACCGTCACTTTGTTCATTCTTCGTTAAAAAAAAAAAAAAAAAAAAAAAAAAACCAGATGCATTGTTTTTTTTTTTAATTCCCCTATTTCCTTGGTCTTTAATACAGAAAAAGAAGCGATCGAACCTAGCTTTGATATTCGAAGAGTTTCGAAAAATAGGAGAGTGAAATGTGTTTTGCTTTCTTGCTTTTCTATCATTTGTTTGTTTTTTATTTTTGACAATTCGTTTTAAAAAGTTTATACGCTTAATGGAAAACTGGATTTCATTGGTGGTATAAAAAAATTCATACCACAATTCCCTACTTGCTTGTTTCGTATTATTAATTTATTTTGTTATTTCTCTAAAAATGTTTTTCCATTTGTGAGATGTTTTTTTTTTTTTTTTCTTTTTTCATTTCTCTTGTCTCGAGGATGTCTACATTGGAGATGAGCATCGGCACAAGATCTCACTGTAAATTTTCAACGTTCGAATAATTTTTGTTTTTTTAATTCTCAATATATTAATGACATTGAATATTAAATTAATATTAAAATATCATTTTATGAATTCGAATTATTGGAAATTTATTCGAGATCTTGGGCATGATATGATTGATTCCAATGCAACAAATCTCGATTCTCGTTATATATTAATTAACGTGTGAGTGTGTGTATTTTTTTTGTGCAAGTGATCCACGTAAAAATTAAAAAATCTTTTCTTCTCTGTCATTAAAAATTGATCGATCATTTTTTTTTCTGCAATAAACAAAAAATAAATTAAAAAAAAAATTCAACAAAATATTCTTTAAAAAAAAGTATTTTTTCTTAAACAAAATACTGTCATAAAATACCTTTATATAAAATATTTTCAATTTGTCACAAAATACTTTTCTGTAAAGTATTATATCTATGAAAAAAAAAAAATTAAAAAAATAAAAGAAAAAATATATAGACAATATATACATAAGAATAAATTTATTAGAGAAGTTGATTGATTTTTACGTGGGGGGTTTTTTTTTTATCTCCCTGTGTACTTGTGTATTGTTTTCATTATTAATTTTTTGTGTGTAAGTTTTTTTTTGTGTGTAACATACAGCGCATGCCAAGCTACCCGCATATACTTTTTCACAACATTCAATAATAGACAATATTCGCTAGGAGGGTAAACCTACGAATTAATCATTTAAATGATAATAAACAGATAATAAGCTAAATTAGCTTGTTATAAATATATTAATATTAAAAATCGTATTGTTTCCTCTCCTTAATCGACACTAAAAAGTATAATATTTATCTACGTGAACATGGAGGAGGTGTTTAAAAAAATGCTAATATCTACGCGTATCTAAGATTTATGTGTCAGATTATGATTTTGATAATTAAAAAAAAAATCGTTTTACTATTAAAACGAATAGATAAAAAAAAAAATTTATACACGATAAATTGAATACGCGTAGATAAAGGCATAACTGATTTTACTTTTTTTTCTCTCTCTTAAGTTACTTTCATAAAAATAAATAATTATTAATAAACTTTACAAGATTTTTTTTTTGAAATTCTTGTAAGAATTATAAAAAATTATTTATATTAATGATACGAATATTATTAATTACATTTATAAAAGTAAATTTAAAAGTAACCTCCTCCTGTGTTTTTTTTTTTTTTTTTTTTGCCTTTTCTCAACGTCTCTGTCAACCGTTTATTTATTTATTTTTTTTTAATTATCAATTGAACGTTGGTAAAAGAGTTATTATAATCTTGGTAAGAGACTCCTAGGTGCCTAAATTCAATATTATTATCACAACAAATATCTTCCTACTTGCTCTGAGAAAGGTTCATCATCGTCTTTGATTCGATCAATAAATATAACTCATCCACGAGCGGCCACGCACTCAAATACTTTTACTCTCACGTGCTATTATTTTCTTACTTTTTTTTTTTTTTGTTGTTTTTTGTTTTCTTTTTTATCTATATCCAGTCGCGTTTTAATTAGTTGGAAACGCGAAATGTTATTATTTTTTGTTTTTCTTTTTTTTTTTTTTACTATTTGAAAGAAACCTTACAACCTTCGCACGAATTGATCAGGCAATTTTTTTATATTGACCTTTTCAACATTTAAAATATAGTTAAAACACTTACGCGATACCTTAACACCTACATCTATAAGAGCCATTAGAATTTTATTTCTAGGGGCTCATTAATCGTTATACATATATATGGATTTACTTGTGAATCTTAATTTTTTCATTCTTGCGATAGGAATAAAGGTTGCTTGTGAAATTCATATCATTTGTATATTATCTTTATAATGATAATAATAATAGTAGTATTAATAATAATAATAATAATAGTAATAATAATAATAATATATATATATATATATGTATATATAATTTATATATAATATATATAATTATAAATAAAGTACTTAAGTTAGTACTTTGTGATGCACTCACGAACACATTACCAAGTATTTATTTTTTCGTTTTTTTAAAATATTTTTTCCCCAAGCGAAATAAAAAAAAAAAAAAAAATTGTAAGAAATCTAAAGTGTGTGCACTTTTTTTTTGATGCAATTACAATAATATCCATATTTATATGTACGTAAGAAAAATTGTTATATATTTACAAGAACGACGTGTATAGGCGGCGTTAATTTTTCCCAGTTATTGAAAATTCTATTCTTTTTCCATTTATCATTAAACTATACAATTTGTCTTTTCAAAAAGATTATTTTCAATGTCAGTTTTATCTCTTGTTTTTTTTTTTTTTTTATTTTTATTCACATAAATGGTATTGTACTGAAAATAATATTTTTTTTGTAAAATACAAATATTTCTGAATATGATTTCGTTTCTTTTAACTGACTGATGAAACGAGAAAACAAGAAATTCCCCAATTATTTGTAAAAATAGTTTTTCTCTCTTTATTTTATAAATAATTAAAGGGTAAAAATTATTTTCAGCACAATATCAAATATGTGAAAATGAAAATCAAGAAAATTTTGTGTACGTTTTTTTTCAGTCAATTAGGTACAACTGACATTGAATTTTTTTTTTTAAATAAAAAATAAATGTGTTATTCAATTATAATCGATTTTATGGACTTAAATTAAGCATTTGTAAATTGATTTTTTTTTTAAAGATAAATCACGTCAAAAAAATTAATTAAATTTCTGAAAACTTAATTTTTCATTTTATGAATACGTTATTTTAATATTTGAAAAATCTCACGTTGCAACCTTTGATCCCTTTTTATTTAATAAAACGTAATCATTTTCTTCGTAGGAAGGCATAGCGCTAATATTATACCGGCCAGTACTTAATGCCACCACTACTTGACTCGAATTCAAGCGCAACATTTTTTTTTTTTTTTCATTTTTTTTTTAATCGTTTCCCTCCGCCGCTTAACGCGTTCAATAATATCAATTAAACTCTACATTAATAAATGGTACAGAAATACACTGGACATTGGCACGACAGGTGGCATTTAGATTTAATATAGAATAAAATTTACGTTATTGCGATAACATTTGGTATCGTTGCGTCGTTGTCCAACCGGTTAGATTTATATTTACTTTTTGGTCGTTGATCCGACACATCTAAGCCAGTGGCGACAGCGACGTCAATGCTTGTTTAAGGTTTCTTTCTTTTGATTAGATTGATACAGTCTAAGTTTGATACTCGCTGCAGTCTTCAAACTATCCAGCAAAGGAATAAAAAAAAAAAAAAAAAAAAAAAATTTATTTAATGGAACACTCGTTGACACGATCAGAGACCTTTGGCCTTGGACTCTAAATGGAAACCCCCTTGCACTTCTCTCTCGTTTCTCTCTCTCTCTCTCTCTCTCTCTCACAAAAAAAAGGGTTTAAAAATCATTTTTCATTTAGAGCTATATAGAAGAAAAAAAAAATCGAGTAGAGCGGTACAGTAGCTTCCATCGAAACAGATCGTAAACATGTATATCCACCACTTTTTTTTTACAATAGGAAAATGAAATCTAGTAAGTAGATGAGTGTCGTAAAATTATTAGCATTGTCGGTTCTTTGTGACTTATTTCATTTCCGTTTGTAAGGGGACTGAGAGTGGGGGGGGGCTTTCGTGGTGAATATACAGATAAGTAACTCTTCTTTTTTTTCTAAAAATTGCGTCCCTATAATCGTGTTTTTAATTGACGTTTCGAGAAGACTCTTGGACTGTATCGTTCCACGCAATAGTTGCGAGAAACAGTCGCTATTAAAAAAAAACCGCGAATTTGAATTACACAGATCGATATTTTTTTTTTGCCAAGAAAGTCTTGGCAAAAAAAAAAAACAAAAAAAAACAGTAAACACAGAAGACAAAGGAAATCGAACAGTGTCTTGGCTATATATATATATGTGTATATATATATATATGTATGATTTCTCAAAAGGACTTGAATGTTTTGCGGTCCTTTACGTCGCACAAAATTGTCTTACATGCTGAGTATTCGGGTCAAGTGTCTTGCACTCTACATCAACTCACCTCCCAGAAGATCTCCGGGCAAGTACGAATTGAGTGAGCTTGGAGTTGCTCGTTGCTGATCGCTGCTGTCAAGTCCCGCGTTGCTCCATAATGAATTGCTCGTGGGTGGAGCACCCCAAAGTTGACTGGAACTACCGCCCCATGTATCTGGTGGTTGGGCCGTTTTATTCGTTGGTCGAAGACCCCAACCACTATTGCCGGATGCGCTCGTCTGTTGTTGACCGCCGTGACTTAACTGTTGCAGTAAAGTGTGAACTTCACTATCACCAGGAGATTCTGCGAATATTGTTGTATTGCCGAGGACACAATTGTTTAATGCACCTTGAGCCTGAAAAATATTTCATTTCATTAATTAAAAAAAAAAAAAAATTTCCCACTAGTTTGTTCAAAAATTTCTGAAATAAAAATTCAAGGACTTTCCAAGCATTTCAAAGTCCTGGACACCCTTTACTAATGTTTATTACTGACCTTGCTGGCTTCATCTCGCGATGAGTATTTAGTGAGTGCAATTCCATGATTCAGGTACAACCGGAAATCTTGTACCGGTCCGTGTTGCATACAGAGAGTTTTGAGTGTTGAACCATCAATTTGTGGAGTAAGATTCTTGAGTAAAAGCCAAGTGGAGACCCATCCTGAATTGCCACCACCTGATTGTAGACCCCAAGAGCTTGCTGATCGACTCACGGAACTTAAGCCACTCCAACCGTTGCTTGCATTTCCAATGCTACCCTTGCTACTCAAACCTGGAGGTGGTCCACGAGCCTTGTTCATTGGTGCGCCCCATAATTCTGAGGTCACTGCCGTTGGTGGTGGTGCTGATTCACCCCATGTATTTTTCGCACTAAAATCATTTTTTCTAATTTAAATATACAATTGATTATAAATATTATCAAGTTGAAAAAAAAACAAGTTCTACCTAGTAAATGCACTAGGTGTTGTCGCAGGTGGATTAAAGCTCCATGTTGAATTACTGAGACTTGGAATGGAAGTTTCAGCGTTTGCTGATTGAGGCGGTGGTGAAGATTTGCTGCTCGATGAAAATATTGCATCAGGATCCTTGATGGCAGCCAATGAGAGTGGTGAACGAACGACCGAACCGGGAGTAATACTAGGATCGTCTTCGATACTTTTCATCTGCGTACCCTAGAATGACATTAAATATAGGTGGACCCGAACAAATCTTACAAACTACCTTAAAATTAATTAATTAAATAAATAAAGAAAAATAAATTATTAAAATTATTAACTAATAAAAATAACTTCCGTAATTGGGAGTGGATTACCTTCCATGGTTTGCCGGGTTCAAATTCAGGAACAAGATCGGTGAATGCAGCGCCTCCTGGTTGCCAGTCTTTACCATCGGTGGAATCGCTGTTTCCTGCGTCTGGCCAACCGCTTTCGCCGAGTCGCGTGGACCATGGTCCATCGCCTTGTCCCAATAGGGGATTCATATTTGGACTTGAATGTGATTGAGTGAGTCCACCAGGTGCTTGTGGTGGTTTGCTGGTGGTACCAGGAGCGCGAGAAAATTCATTAACCACAGAATCTCCATCTTTGTCAAGTGAGGGCAATTTCCACTGGTTTAATCTTGACTGCTGTTGACTCTGTTGAGAAAACAAAAGGAAATGACAATTTAGTAACTGCCGTAATTAATTAATTAATTAATTAATCATTCAAAAATCTCAGCTTACAACTGGTGGTGGCTCTTTGTTCATTGTCAAATCACTGAAAGTATTCTGAAGAGCGCTAATCGGATCGTGAACTGGTGTTTTATAATAATCAGATGACTGCGATGGAGCAGCTGGATGTTGTTGTTGCTGCTGTTGTTTCATGTAAGTCGCTTGTTGAACAGCAATTTGATTTTGTAGATTAGCAATTTGTTGCTTTGTCTTTGTAATTTGAACACTGATCTGAAGAACTGTTTGATTATTGCCCTTAACAGAACTCTGTACAGTGTGTTGTTGATGCAATTGTTGAAGAACTTTGATCTGTTGTAATAATTGATTTAAAAGAATCAATGTTTGTGGCGCTAATGGTTGATTTAAAATTTGATGATTGAGATAGCCTTCTTGAACAGCAAGTTGAATTTGTTGTACAAGCATTCGCAATTGTTGAGTGCTCGGTTGATTTTGTGGAGTTCTCGATGCCTGAAATTATTTTATTCTTATATAAGAAAAATGAAAATTGACACAAATTGTTTTTTTTTTTTTTTATGAGATAGAAAATTTAAATAAATTTTTTCTTATTTTACTTTAATAACGAAATTAATTTTTCCTAATCATTCTTCTTTTTCATTAAATAATTTAATTTTAAATCATTTTAACAAAATAATACTAATACAAAAAATAAAACTATAATAAAAATATTGTAATTAGCTTAAAAAATAATTTTCGTAAGTAAAAAATTTGACATGCAAAAATTAATAGCAAAAACGCGATAAAGGAAGCTTTGTGTAATTGTGAAGTTTCAAAAGACAGAGAAGAATTTTATCCATTTTTTTTTTATATCATTGATATTTTTAGTTACTTTTTACTAAAATTCTTTGTTTCCTCTCTGATTTTGAGATACTTTAAAGAAAAATGCGTAAAATAATATTGTTTCTACAGTCAAGGCAAAATTATTGTTCGCATAAAAAATTCAAGCATTTTGAAAATAAATCCTACGGGAAAAATACATGCAAAAAATATAAAAGCAATAAGTACATTTCAAACCATAACGACATTTCACACAAGACGCGTATTAATTTGGAATATATATTAATTTAAAAAATAAAAGTTAATAATTCCATGGCTTTTTTTATCAATAAAAAAAATTTTATTTCTACAGAGAAAATAAAATTTTGTGCTTCAATTTCATAAAAAAAAACAAAAAAGCTTTTATCATCTATTTTTTGAAAAATCAAAAATTTCTTTTTTAGAAAAAAAAATGACGCTCAAAAGCGGAAGAAGAGACTATCGCGAATCTAATTTGTTTTCAAGGGGAAATAAAATAATTGTATTGTAAAAAAAAATAGTCTAAAGAAATAAAAATAAAAAATCAAGAATGATTTATATGTAAAGAAAAGAGTAATTAAAGGAATAGGCTAAAAATGATCGGTAATGAATAAATGTTTGTTCCGGACATCAGGTAGTTCACCTGGTTAAAAGGAGGCTGCGGCGCATTGGAACTGGGTTGCTGTTGCTGGAGTTGAACAGCTGCCTGCTGTTGCTGTTGTTGTTGTTGCTGTTGTAACTTGAGAAGACTGGCGCTGGCCACAGAACCACTTACGCCGCCAGTAGCCGCCCCGCTGGGCACTCCAGCCCCCTGCATTACATACGAATACCCTGAACCCCTTTCTCCCAACCTAACCTCTCACCCCCTCTTTACCACTTAAGATTAAGCTAAGTAGGTGCAACCTTTCATTTAATAACCACAATCAATGACAATCTATTCTATTACGTATTAAATTTTATAAAAAAAAAAAATTGTTTCCATTTTTTAATTTCATAATTTATCTTTCTATTTTCTTTAAAATTTATCAATTTTGTTGAATTAATTGAACGGCTGCACTTTTTTTTCTTTACTAATCAAATTAACGCCTGGCAAAAACCTTCACCACGATATTAACAAATCGTCTAAATCAATCAATCATTGAAAATTGTTAAATTGAACAAAACACCCATTAAAAATTTTAACTCGCACAAAAAACCCTCGCTTGTTATATGATGCCACTCAAAAAAAGAAAAAAAAAAAAAAAAAAAAAAGTTTGGAACCACACCTAGTGCATATTTTGCTACAGCAAACACACCAAACAAGTGTGAAAAAAAACATATAAAAGAAAAACATTGCAATTTGTGTTTTCGTTTTTCTATAAAACTCAAAATAAAATTTGAATTTTATAGAAATAAAACGAGAGTGCAAATTTTTGAAAAAGAATTCAAATTACTCAGATGAATAAAAAAATTTAAATGCCTCGCAAAATATGCATTTTTCATTACTAGTTTCCACCAGGATAGATGCTCAGCAAAAAAAAAAAATATATATATATATTTTTCACTTACCGGAGGGAATGACATCTGCTGCGCAACATGATTGAATCTCGGATAACTTGGACCTGAGGTCCCTTGATTTGCAAGCTCATAACCAGAATGAGCTTCATGACGTCGCCATTGATCCAATGGACGCACTTGATTCAACAATTCTTGTGCTTCGTCTCGATTCATCTCGCGATTTCTCAAAGCTACCTCAACATCTTCCTTCTGTTAGATTTAAACAAAAAAACATAAATTAAATATTTCAATTTTAAAACAAATTTTAATATATTATAAATATACAAACCTTGTAGCCCATTTCACATAATGAACGAAATTCGCGACTGTTGCAAATAATCTCCTTGGTGAGTGTTGGTTTCGAAGGATGACCCCAGCTGGACGTTGGTTCCATATCGGAATCGGCCCAGCTTCCACTGGGTCCCAATGGTTTTGGTTTGTGTGCAGCGGGTCCTCCCCAAGAGGCTGGATTTAATTGTGGTTCATTCCATGTTGTGGGTCCTTTAGTTTCATCCCAAGCGGCAGTTTCATGTGGTCCATCGCCCCATGATCCATTACGTCCACCTGGACCACTTGGATGACTCCACATTGGACCACCGACGTCTGGTTTCATGCCTGGTTGACCGGGCATACGATTTTGTGGCATTCCGGGAGGGCATTGCATTCCTGGCAAAAGGAAAAAAAAAAATTATAAAAAGTTCTTACTTTTTTTTTTTTTATTATAAAATTAGAAACACACCTCCACGTGCAATATTCGGAACAGGCAAATCTTTCCAGTGTGAAACTTTGGTTCCTGGCATGCTGCGTTGTTGATTTGGTCCTGGATTACCCCAGAGACTAGTTCCATCATCGTAATTTTGTACGCTACGTCGTTGAGTTGGTGGTGATGGTTCTTCCCAACCTGATGGCTTACTACCAGGCATCATTTCCTTTGGCGGTGGGCCGGACCATTGATTCATGCTCGATGGATTAATCATTTTAGTTGGTGGGCCGGACGGATGCTGATGGCCCATTTGATGATGCGGTGGTCCTGGTGGTTGTCCCCACATTGCATCACCGCCTGCTCCATTAAGACGTCCTGAAATACCACGTGGATCACCACGCATATCAGCCATTCTTGGATCACGTGCCATTGGATCAATAACACGTATATGCTCCCTTGGATCGAGTGACATACGATGATCACGTGGATCACGCATTTCACGTGGATCCACCGATCGAATATCTCGCGGATCACGTGGATCAATTCTTGGATCACCCCAATTTGATCCTCCACCGCCACCTCCGCCTCCTCCACCACCTCCTATATTCGCCAAAATAAAATTCACAATAATTATATCATTATTACTATATTTGCTGACAAGTTGATTTCACATGTATTCGAAAATCGAGTAATGCTAAAATAAATGTGCCATCATTCTAGTCCTATTGTTATTATTAACAGAACACAACATGAAAAAACAAAAACGAGCACAGTTTTTATTAAAGCAAAAAATCATACTCGTAATAAAATGCAAAATCAAATCGTTCAACAAAAAAAATAAGTACCCCAGAGTTAAAATTATAAAGCTACGTGAATGCCGGAGTTTTTTTTTCTTATTAGATTAATAATAACATACACAGGAATATAAAATTAGCTTAATGCAGAATAAAACTGCAACTGAGCATTCCAGACATAACGTTTTTTTTAACACAATTTTTTTTTAATATACAATTTAATTTTTTTTTAAATTAATAATAAAAAAAGCAATGTCAATTGAAATATAATATTAAAAAGCAACAAAAAAAAAAAATTATCGAGATATAAAGCACGATTGAAAAAAAATATATAGAGATTATTTTTTTTGTAAAGTGAAATTTTTAGACAAACATTCCTGTTAAACAAGTGGCATCTCCAGCCTTCACTAGCATACCTCCCCACATACCGGTTTGATTACCGGTAGCACCCGGCCACTGTGGTGTATTTGGTTGACTAGGTGCAGGTGCTCCAGTCCACATATTTGAAGAATCAGCAGATTCATCATCCTCGCCCCATGTGCCACCAATATTTGTTGATGGTGTATGACCCCATGGAGTTTTTGCTTGCTGTTGAGGGGGTGGTTGTCCACCATTGCGCAAATTTACTTCCCATAAATCAGTACCGTTATTAACTGCTGGTTTCCACATTGGCGGACCATCTTTGGTTATATTTGGTTCCGGAGAAGTTGGTACATCCCAGTTTGTATCTTGATTTACATGTTGCTGATTTTGAAAAGAAACAAAAAAAACATATTAAACTACTACTCTCTAAATTTGAATTTGTAAAAATTTTAATTATTGATAATTAGTTACTTTTTGCTTTTGAATTAATAAAATTTAACTAATTCAAAAGCAAAAAGTAACTAATTCGAATTAATTAAAATTTAGAGAGTATAAATAGTAATTATCAAATTTATACCATCTTATCATATTGTTTTACTTGTCATTCTGATAAAAATTTCAATGATTTTTAGTATATATTTAACTTTATTGTAATTGAATAAATTAAAATAGAAAAATGTAATTTTTCTCTATTTTTAAAGAATAAGTGACGTTTTGATGACTTAGTGATCATTATCAGGTTAAAATGGAATTATGTTATATAATACATTTTTTTTTTAAACAGTTATATTGGCACGTCAGATACTTAAGAGCATCTTGTCAAGACCAATATAACTCTTCAAAACATTTTTATTATGTAACACTTATAAATTCAATTTTAGTTTCATGATAACAAGTCATCAAAATGTCACTTTTTCTTTTAGAATAGTAAAAAATGAAAATGATATAAACTTTATTTTATTTTCCACTTTTGATGAATTAAATTTTTAAAAATTTACTAATTTTATGTGCCAATTTAATTAATTTTTTTTTTTTGCCACACGTGAATATTAAAAAATACTCTATTTCGGTATAAATTTTTTAATTAAATTTCCATTTTAAAGAAATTTCTATTTAGATTTATTTTCATTTAAAGGGTTCTTTAAAAAATAAATTTAAAAAATTGTATAATGGTAAAAAAAAAATGTTTTTCCAATTTCTTTTGCAATATTTTTGGGGAATATTTAAGAGAATTGCAAAAAATACTCACACAGCCCCAGCCATCTTGACTGAAAAGTGCCTCTCTCATGGTATTGAGTTGTTCCAATTGTTGCTTAGTCGATGGATTTGTAGTTGTTGGCGTTGTTGCAGCAACTTGTCCTTGATTAGAATTATTAATTTGATTATTATTGGCATTGGGAGTGGACGACTGTTGTTGTTGCTGTTGTTGTTGCTGCTGTTGTTGTTGTTGTTGTTGTTGTGGCACATTATTACTATTGTTGTTCTGTGTCGCTTGATTGGGTCCTGGTCCAACTGGATTATTTGGTTTATTTTGAGGCCATGGGGCATTATTTTGATTACCACCTTGGACTGTATTGTTCGATTGCGATGTTGGTGGTCCACCACCGGGTTGTGAATTTTGCGGTGGATTTGAATTGTTCGTTTTATTAACATTTCCTTGATTATTCTGATTACCAGGTGGGCCCTGATTTTGATTTGGATTACCGGTTATAGATTGTGGACGATTAACATTATTACCACCCCAATTATTTGGCGGTCCATTATTGCCCGGTGGATTTCCAGGTGTTCCACCCCAACCTGATTGCGTTGCATTATTATTATTTGGAGTTGTTGCTTGTGATGTACCCCAATTAGCTGTTCCACTTGTATTCAATGATGTTTCACCACCGCCAATTAGGCGACATATCGCGGGAATGCTCCATCGTCGTTTATAATCGTGTATTGGTTTTAAAATTTCATTACATTTTTGTAATTGTCGGCTAAATAGAGTATTCAAGGCAACATTCAGTCGTTGACGTAAAATTTCATTGTTGTCTTTGTTTTGGTATGCTTTTTGATATGCTGGAATGAGGGTGCGAATATAGCTGATCAATTGCGATGATTCGACCATCTTTGAGATATTTATGTCATGTGATTTGTCTTGATCGTGATGTGATAAAATGTCGGTTTTTGATTCAATTGAAATCGAATTGTCATTGATCGTGGATAACGATTGGATATTAACAACATTTTTTTTATAATGTTCGTCATTGTTCGAGCAATTCTCATATTGAGAAACAGGTACAGTAACAGCAATTGTTTGGGATGTGACGGTGGCTGATTGGCAATTAAGCGTCATCGTAGGCTCGCAGGTAGTCAATATAGGAATGTTGACGGCCGACATTATTATTTCCTCTTTGTCATTGTAATTGTCGCGCCGAATGGTACGAGACATATCAGACTTATCGCTAGACTTAGATACAGACTTAACTTTAGAGTTAGATTCATGACCAACCTTAGTAGACACTTGATACTTATCATTCTTAAAGCTAGCGTTTAGAGGCTTGTTAGACTTATCGTTATCCTGAAATGAAAGAGCACCAACAGTAAACATTGTTGCTTCGGTACAGCTAATACCATCATTTTGTGACCCTAATGTCCTAGCATTAGTAGTCATTATACAACTAGTCTTGTAGCACACAGCGACGTTAACAATGTCTTGGATAACATCTGGATTATTGTTTCTAATATTCATTTCTTCACCAATACACCTAACGCTATTGTTATCATCATCATCATTATTATTACAATAATAATTATTACCAACGTCGTTATCATAACGCTTAGATTCTATCAATAATGGAACACATATGCGTTGCGTCAGCTCGGTCACGGTGACGTGCCCTAGTGGAGAAGTAGATGATTCTCGGACTCGTGTGAGACTCTCTAGGAAAGATTGCAGAGCGTGGTCGGTGATTTCGTTTTTGGAAACGATAAGCGTAATGGAAGAACTGGCGGAATGCGCCGCGAAATTCTGAGCGTAAGCGGGGAACAATCTTGTCTCGAGAGTAGTGCTATCATTCGAACAATATTGCAATTCAAAGACACTTCCTGCCGTTAATTTCGTATCATTAATGATCTTATTATGAACGAGGTATCGATGGACGTGCGCGAGATCGCTAATCAGAGAGCGGTTACCGTTTAGTGATTTCGTGCTTTCCAATTCGTCAATAATATTATCGGCAAGGCTCTTGTTGTTGTTGTTGTTGTTCTTGTCGAGAAGAAGATAATAATCACCGTAACTGGTTGAGCTGAGCAATATCACAGACTTGGAGTTATTATTACTTATGAAACTAAGATTAGCCTTAAGGTTATTGTTGTCGCCTGTGCAAAGGCGGGACCCTAGTAAGGAGTAATTGTCGACAGAGTCAGCGAGATGCGGCAGCCGCTGGGGGTAATCAGACTTGGGTATCCTAACTAGGCTAGGTACCCCAGCGGGATAGCGCGCATCACCCCTCCTAACATTTAGATATAGACTTATCTTTAGTACCCTAATGCTTAGATCTCTAAAGCTATCCTTATTATCACTTAACGGCTTACAAGTAGACTTAGAGTTATCGGCAGAGCTGCCCAGCTGACCAAGCAAGCTCAGTGTGTTTTGCTTTCTGTGATGATTATGTTCTGCATTGTTGTTGTGGTTATTTACTTTATTATTATTATCATAGGTTAGAAGGTGATTTGTTGGGTTTTTTGTGGTTGCTGGCGCCACTGACTGGCGGGCCTCGCCGATGCTGGCTGAGCTGAACTCACCTGTAATTTCAAAAAAAAACCCCTGTCTATATTTTTATATTCAATCGAAACTTTTTTTTTTTTTTTTTTTTTGCAGTAAGCTAAAAATTCGCTGACAAAAGGCGAATGTTTTGTTCTGATTGCGAAACTTTCAAAAATGTGTACTAACAACTTATTAACAGTGAAATAAATTAATCATCATTTATCGAGACTTAATATTTCAAATCTAAAAAGCAAAACGAGAAGACAAAAAGAAAACAATATACAAAATAAAAAGGACAATTTTAAAAATAAATATCTACTTTCTATAACGATAGAGAAGCTGAACTTATAATTCTCTTCAGCTTCTGTATTTAATTAGGTCATCTCTCAATTTGCTTTAATTCTATAATCATTTTTTAGCTGGCCATTAAAGACCTTGAAATTAAAGTAGAAAAAAATGAAAATTAAGGTCAAAAAGGAATAAAAAAAAAAAAAAAAAACTCACCAGAATGGCGTGACAGGACGGTTAAGAAGTCATTGGCGGCGGTAGCTTCGGGGTGGCTGGTAGGTGCTGCCATCATGCTGCTGTTTATGGATTTGATATCACAGTACCTAGCGTGCTCTGGTCCTTTCCCCTCCCCCACCCCACTCAGACTGCTTCCCTCTAATACTACTACATCTCCCTAAAAATTATTGTTTATAAATAATTATTCAATATATTAAAATTACTAACCATCGCTAAACTTTGAATATAATAAGAAAATTAAAATTGTCTTCTCGATTGAAATTTTTATGGATTTTTTTTCTAAATCATAAAAAAAAAAAAAAAAAAAAAATGTTTAAAGCAAATCATATGTTTAACAATAATTTGAATGTCAACAGAAAACAAACTAAATAATATATGTATATCAACAAGTGAATCGGACTGTAGATTATTTCATTGTACATTAAAGTTTTATCAAAGAATAATAAGAGTAGTCTTGTTTACCTTGGAATTTTGTACGAAGGCATTTGTTTCGGTAGAAATCTCATGTGAACTAGAATTGTGTGGAAACATTGGGCTCAGTTCTTCTTTGGCAGGCAATGCATAGAAACCAAGATCTACGAAAGAAATAATAAAAATTAAATTAACCAAATATTATTTTGTTTTAAAATCATTATTTCGTTTATATAAATAAGAAATTTTTAATTTTTCGCTGTAAATCTCATAAATTAAAAAATATTTACCTCGTAGACTATCACTATCAGTGCGCTCCTAGCTCCATGCCAGTAGAGATCTAAAAAGATAAAAATAAAATTTATATTAATAACAAAAAAATTTTTTAAATTTAATGAAATTTCAATATGGGCATTTAAAAAAAAAAAAAACTACATAATCTAATCAAAAACCACTTCCGCAACAAAGATTCAATTTGCATGAGGAATTTCACGACAAAACTTATTGTTAATTCTAATAATTCATATGACGATGTAAAGGGGGTAATTTAAGCTACTCAAAGTTACATTGTTATTTAAATGAAGGCAACAATAAATTGATTCAAGGAAGTCCAGCCATATTAAGTTATTAACATTCGCCGATATTCCATATTTAGTGTGTACATGTTTTTTCAATCTCACTATATATTATATTATCATCTTTTAGCGCATTAAATTTTTTTTAAAAAAAAAACTTTGTTATAACTTTTCTGTTCATCTACGTTCGTTGTACTTTAATATTTACGTAACTATAAATAGTGGATGACAGAGAATGTGGAAGTAGGAGACAACAAAAATATAAATCTTCATTTTGTGTCTTAAATTAGCTTTTGGCATTGCAAAAGGAAAAAAATGAATTCTAACTTTTTTTTTTAACTTAAATATATATATATATATAATTATAAAAAAAACAGTTCCCCTTTCATACTATTTTTTCAAATTATAAAAACAACCGCAAGATTTATCGAATTACAAGTTTCTTAAGATCCTCATAAAATTGTCAATTTATTTGCATCAAAAATAAATATCGAGTCTAACTTTCTATAAGAGTGGAAACTAAATAAATATCGAGAAATATGGAAATTCTGAGACACACTCAAATCACTATTGCAATATGCATTGATGAATATTTACAATTTCCTTTGATTTTTTTTTTTAAATCGCAAATTAAGTTATTAATGGATTGTCGCGAGAAGAGAATAATTGCTTTAGAAAAAAAACCATCCTTCATCAATCTGACAAGGTCATATTGAATCCATTGTTGCCAAATGCAATATATTTTTAAATAAATAAACAAACTATAAAAATACAGGATATACAATGATCAATTTTCATATCTATTTTTTAAACTCTTTTTGTGATGTTAAAAATATAATTATGTAAAAAATGGAAGCTAACGCAAAGTGATACTCTCTTCAGTTTTTTCTTTTTTTTTTTTAATTTAATGATAATTTCATATCTAATCAACACCTATTTGAGATTATGATATTTGCGAAACTTATCCAAGTCACTAAAAAAATTATTGTTTTATTACTTTATTCTATTCTTTCCGGAATGTATATTTATTTAAAGATATGAAACTCAGCTCTTTAATTATTAATATAATGTAACTGTTGCAATTATTTCACAGTTCAATGTGATTATAACTCATGAAATGCAACTTTCTTAATGTTTCTAAACATGAAAGTAATTTGTAAAATTGAAAATACAAATATACAAACAATAAATATTATAAATGTAAATAATTAAATTAATACAACTAACAATCATTATAATTTAAATAAAAGGAAATTTATATTATATTGCAAATATAAATAATTTAGTTAAATATAATAATGTAAATATTTGAATAGATAAAAAGAACACTCACAAGTATAGTGAAAGTAAATAAAACATTAAAAAAAAAAAGAATTAAAGCACTTTACAAACTTTTTGCTTGTTATCCTGGAAATTTTTTTTTTCAAAATATCAATATTTCAAATACTAGCATATATGCAATGAAGGACGATATCACAAACTTATTATTATTTCACAAGAGTCTATAACTATCTAAACTCCATATTATAATCGATTAAGTTCACTTTTAATGCAGCAAACAGTAAAACTAACATCATAACAAACTTTTGACCTATTATGATTTGCATTTACACAAACGTATAATATACACTTAAATAATAATTATCACTATAAAAAGATCTTCTTAAAAGTGATCAAAAACCATTTTTATAACAACAATAAAAAACAACTAACTTGACACGTGAAATCAAATATAATTTAACTATTGTTCATGTAGATAATTCCTTTTTTTAAATTGAACCACAGATACTGCAAGTTTAAAGTAAAATAACCTGCACAGCAATACTTAACCGGAAGTGATCATTATTAGAGCAGAAAGCCTAGGTAGGCACTGACTTCAAGAAACGTAACGCGGAAATTTTGTAACTCCAAACGGTACTTGCTCCGAAATGACTCGAGGAAAAGAAAAAACATTTTTGCACCACAAGAGGGGGCAGGAGAGATGGAGACACCTCGCGAAACGTAATAGAGGTTATAGGAGGGGGATTTTTTTTTATTACCAAAAAAAAAAAAAAAAAAATAATACGAAAAGACAAGAAATCTCCGACACCCATGTATATAACGTTTTACGCACTCGTCACAATCGTTGATATAAGTCATGCTATTTCGACAGCGAAAACACAAATTCCTTGCGGAGCGGCGCTCCCCTTCACCCTCAACGTTCCGAAAGGTCAGCCAACAATTCTGAGGCGCGAAAAACACGAGGAAAGGACAGTATTATCCTCTCGTCGTGTTTCGCCTCTTTTTTTTCCCCTCTTACTCACTCTCTCACCATCTCGTTCTCTCTTTCACGAAAGAGCTGTAACACAGGCCAAGCAGCGACGCTCGGTAACGCAGCCTACAACTTTCCAAAAATTAAAACCACGTCAAATGAGAAATATCACCGAATGAATGAGAACCGCGCCCTCCTCATCCCTCTAAACCCCCTCCCCCCATGTCATTCTTATATAGTAATCGTCATTGTCGACACTGATGGGGCACAGAAAAGGTTAGATAACGAGCTCTGGAAAAAAATCAAATAACACTACCGTCGGATCTCAAACACACATAGCACTCCTATACCTCTTGGGACACCCACATACTACACAATATGCAGTATTGTAGACAAGAATCGTTACACTAATACTTAATATTCACTATTCCAGGTGATGAGGACAAACATTATTCCTAGAGGGAGTTTTTTTTTATATAAAAAAAAATCACAACTTACGCTTCGTGCCCGAAGAACAGTCTAACGCACGGAGCTATTTTGCTAGCGCTGAACAGCAACGCGTACTCGCGCTATTGTAGCTATTCTGGCGAACAGTCCGCCTCCCCTTTCGCACGGGAATGAGCGACGATGCACGAGTGTCCAGGGATGTATCAATAGAGTGAAGGGCCCCTCAACAATTTGTTTGTTTTTTTTTTTTTTTAAATTCCTCAACAATTCCACTTGAACTTTAAATCAATTTGAAATTAATTAAAGTTGATAATAATTGCACTTTGACCACTTCGTGCAATAATTAAATATTATAATAATAAAAACAACGATAATTAATATTAATTCAAACTAATTAAATGATTACAATCTAAAATAAGATTTTAAAAAAATTCAAAATGGTGGATCCAATATGGTGGAATAAAATTTTTAATCTAATGATATAATTGAAGGCGCCATTTTGAATTTAGAAATTCTAACTTCAGATTTATAATCATCCATTAAAACTTTAGGCAACAAATTCGTTAACAATTTAAATTTTTCTCTCAATTTCCGTTTCAATTAAATATATATTTACATAAAATAAATTATTTTGTAAACTTTGTTTAAAAAAAAAAAAAAAAAACAAAGAAAATATTTTAAAAACTTTCAATTTACTTTAAATATTAATACTTCGTGTGAAAACAATTTCGAAATTTTCATAATAATTAATGTATACATATATAATTTGTTACTGTTAAAATAATTTTTTTAAGTAAATAAATTTAACAAAAAAAAAAAAATTTTAATAAATTATTTGCATAAAAAATATATATTTATGCAAAAATATTTTTTTATAACTTTTTTAAATAAGAAAATTATACTTTTAACAACATCATAGAAATTCTTAGAAAAATAAATTGAAAACTGAATGAGAAAATAGTTGCAGAAATAATTGTAGAGTAAACATTTTAAAATGTTTTGTTTTGGCCATTGTTTGTTAGGCCACATGCAACGTTAAGTCTGCAATTTCCCAAGTCACCCAAGCTAGAAGAATAACCCAAAGGCGATGGTGAAAGTCAAGAGTTACAGTTATTAAAAAAAAAAAAAAAAAGAATACGAAGCTCTTGTCTATTTTAAAAATTCGATGCCAATGCCCCTTGTTATACTTATTGTAATGTATACGTTATAAAACAATTAAAAGATTGTTCCACGCAAACATTATTTCATTCTATTAATTTCAATGAATCATACGCATTCAAACATCATATTATACCACGATATTATATTCTTGAAAGTTCTCTTAACGTTCATATATATATATGTGAATGAAATATTTTTAATTTTTTGCAAACCTAAACAAATCCTCAAATTCTAAAAATTTGAAAACTCTTACGCTAACTATTTTTATTTATAAGAATAAAATCTTTTTTGAGGATGGAATTAATTTTTCTAAATAAAAATATATGGTGTTCTTAGAGAATTTCTCCAACTCAAAATATAACAAAATAGGATGCCAACTTTGACCGGAACTATTTGCGCAACATTATTTATATTGAACTTGTTCCAAAAATCGGACATCTTCAAATGATCATCAAATATATGCGATATATATATAATTTACAACCATTACACTTTTATCTGCAAATTAATATTGTAACAAATACATGTTTATAATATATAGTTTGTTTATTTTATTATAACCATTACTTGAAAAACAGTTATACACTTTGTTACAATATACTCCCACTCTACTATCTTGTGTTGTCAATTCAGGCAAGTGTTTTAAAATAGGGCGCTATCACTTATGTGATAAAGAAGTGATAGACTCGTTTAGTAAAGTTGCTCCTAAAGGCTCTTCCACGAAGGCTTTCATGTACTTTTTTTTCGTTATCTCCTCTAACAATATTTATAATTATCGAAAAAATCTTCCAACACACCTAATAATATCACATTACCAAAATAAACTATTTGCAAATAATAAAATAAAATCACTATAAGGAACAGCATCCTTTAAAGAATCTATACTCTCAATCTGAATCTGTGGGA